ATTAAGAAGAGGAAATTAATTGGTTTGAGAACAATTTAGATCACGACGAAACGTTAACGAACAAGATAATTCAAGGAAAAATGACAGTTCCAAAAGTAGAGGAATGAGAGGATATGACAAATTAACGTGCTATAATCGAGGAAAGCGGAGAGTATAGGATAAAACAATGTGGAGGAAAAAGTGGAGCTGAGACGAATGCCTGGTCACACAGTCATCAATCTCTAGATACTTAGTAGTGATGAAGTTAGTTCAGTATATCCTCCACTATTTTCACCACCGATCTATGCTCCCACCCACTGTGCGTCGCGGCTAGTCCAAGGCCACGACGTCGCCGAGGCAACCGCGGGCGGCGCTCGCAGCGCAGGGCACCACCCACGACAGCGCGGCGCGGCGCGACACAGAGACAGCGATGCAGCGGCGACTACCGCGACCACGAAGCGCCCTCGACAAGAGCCTCGTCTGGGCGGCACCTCCACAAACGCGCCCACCGTCAATGCGGCGGCGGACAAGGCAACGAGATACGAGTATGACTTCTGTCGCAAGGAACGTTCAGCGTGTGACGAAAAATTAATTTTAGCTTGTTTGCTATAAGTTTATTCTCGCAATTACAGGTCACTTAATAAATTCATTACGTCAGGGTAACAGCAAATGAAAAGTTTTCACTGCGCGGAAAAGCTTTTTCGCTCAAATTTTGAAAATTTGATTATGAATTCATCAATCTTATTGGAATTCATTCAAGTTTTGGATATCATTCTTCATTTCGATATACTTCTATGTATAAGGATTGCAATGATCTTGCTTTCTCTGGTAATTGAACATTTTATTGCATCTATGTGCAGAACCTCTATGCAATGTAAAAGGAACCAGACTAAATTTACTTTCTTGTTAGCTCTGGATAATCTAATGCTATTTTATAACTTTCAGGAAATAACTGAGTCTTTCGTTTATGTCGTCTTCGCGCAAATACTCGAAACGTATTAAAAAATAAAAATGACTGCAAACGAGCCAAGAAATAGTGTATTATTTAAAACAAAATATATTAACCCTATAATTTGTGCAAACATAAGATATATCTCGTGAAACAATTAGCTTGTAAGATTGCTGTATTATTAAGGAAATGATTCAGAGTACGAATTAGAAATGATTCAAACGTATTTGCAATGATGACGTGTTACTTAACGACCCGATCCGCTATGCTTCCTGGTTGCGTTCCCACTGCGAGGCGCGCACACCGATAGATGCCACCCGGCGATACCTGGCCGCCCTGGCTCGAAAACAACGGAGGGCGGAAGCGGCGGGCGCCCAGGAAGCCGATCGGGGCTCCGCGCCTCGCGCAGATGGATCGCGCGCGCGCAGTGCGGGCGCAGACGGTATCTGCGCGCGCTGCGCGGGCGCGTGAGTAGTCGGCAACGCTCATACAGACCAGCCCGACTGCGTGCCCGACGCACCGCGAGCTAAAGGTGCGCCCGACGCACCGCACCGCACCGCACCGGGCAAACCGCACCGACCGCTCGCACCGCACGCAACCGCACGCACCGGCACCGCACCGACGACCGCAGCGCCGCACCGCGCCGCATGCTCAGCTGCCTCCCGCGCCTCACCGCCGCCACCGTTTCTTCCTCTCCACCGACATTCCCTCCTTGGGCGCCATCGTCGCTCTCCTCGCCTCTGCTTCCGCCGCCTCCTCGCATCTGCTATCGTCACAAGCTAGCCTCATTCGTCGCGTACTCCTCGCCGCCCCACGCCCATTGACCTCCCCTCCTCTGATGGGCTTGGAATGGCCCTAGGCCCATGTTCTGCATGCCGCGCCCGCCTTCCGTCCCGCGCGCCCGCCTCCTCCCGGCGGATCTTGCTGCGTCCCCTCCTCCCCACTATCCTCACGCCCCCGTTGCTCCGTCGCCTATTTCGGTCCCTCCCCCTATACTCTGGCAGACGCTCCATCGTTCAGACGCGCTCCCCACCCCCCAACCCCCGCGCCGGCTCCTAGCCCCAGCCCCACACGCGTGCTGTCAATCCTGCCGCACCACTCTGTCTTAGCTCCCTAGGCAGGGAAACGACCACTCCTAGGCTGGAGTGACAACGTGGAAGCTGTATTTTAAAAATATATGTATTTATAGAAAAAATACATGAAAAAATAACATAAATTAGTCCTGAATGTTGTTGAAATAATTAACATGCTAAACGGGTTGATTTAATTTAAGACTGACAAGTTGTCCCGCAAGGAACCATCCGGGGAAAACCAAACAGAATCTGAATCAGAATTACGGCTTCGAAGCGAACTGATGAAGGAAAGCGAAAAACGCAAGTAAAACAAAGGAAGAAAGCTGCTCAGGAGAAAACATGAAAAAACCTGAATCAATATCACTTTGTTTTTTTAGTATCTAACCTTTCTACATGAAATATTAAAAAGGAAAAATAATATAAAAATATAATTGTTTTTACACACTTTGTATACTGAGAACAAAATATTGACACTCGTGTATTGTTAATTGGAAGATAATTAATGTCTTATATTAATAAGATATAGAAGTGTCTGGAATTTAGTCTAATCTATACTATTACTACCAATTCTGGCTTTTACTTGCAGTCAGTATATCGACATCTCACAATTTTAATGTTCTGTTTCTGAAATGGTTTAATTAATTCAGATTTGTGGCCTGAACATGAAGTCTAAAACATATTTTCGTAGGATTCTCTTCTAGTTTCAACCTAGATGCCTCTCGCTCATGCTAGGGCATCGTAGTGATAGAGCAGGCGCAGAGTATTTAAGGGCCGTCCATAAATTACGGCCCTTAAATATGTAACGCTAAAGAGAGGGGTTGAGACAGCGTTACGCTGCGTTATATAGAGGTAGGGGGTGTTCCATTAGTGTCACATGTAACATTAGATTTTTTGGCATTTATTACATTTGTTGAAATACTTTTTTGTCACACTAAAACATGAATATATTATCTAATTAATTTGTTTTAAAACAAAATGATTTAAAGTTATTAGAAGTTGTTACTGACTGAATAGTCTTTTTTACTCAACTATAATTTATTTTCACTTTTCGCATTTACATAGGGGGTGGGGGGTTGTCACAAGCGTTAAGTAAGTATTGTGAGTCGTGTTTTAAGGGTGCGTTACAGCGGGGGAGGGGAGGGGTATTCAAAATACTCCAAATTTGCGGTACGTAATTTATGAACGACCCCTTATTAAAATACAACCATTTAATATTCAAACTGCATGAAGTAGTCATCAGTGCTTCGCAATGCGCGAATCCCTGCGGTAGCTGCGAACGAGGCGACTGAATGTTCAAATATGCTGCAGTCTTGCAGCCGAATCTATTGTGCGGAGGGGGCCTTATCTAAGCTTGCGCGCGTCGGCTGTGGCCGCACAGGTCGACCGGGCTGCCGCTCATCCGGCCAAGATAAGCCCATCCGTTCCGCTCCTCCGGCCACGGGAGACGCTGGCGTCGCTTGCCACGTTCCGTTATGCTAATGCGGGACATGAGATGCTTCCTGGACAACTTGCCAACAGCCCACGTCATTGAGCACCCTGTTTTTCCACGTTGCTCCACTTTCTGATTAAGACGCTGAAAACCATATCCGTTTCCGACACCTTCAAACGGTTGTAAACCGATTCTATGGGTTCAAATTTGCATTCCATATTCTGAAGGTGGAAATGGCAAGTTCCCACCAGATTGTTCACAATGTGTGACCTCTGTGAAAGATTGTGTGAAGACATTTCAATCCCAATAATAACATAGGGCGGGTCTCATCTGATATCTTTTTCAGCTGCAAAGAAAGTACTATAAAATTTTTCGACATTGCCACTTAAAACTTTTCAGCATTGGTTGAATCCGTACAAAAAATTTGGACATTTGTGCGCGTAAAAGGATACTGAAATACTCTCATTTTTGGACGTACACTAGTGACGGTGAGATCTGAGATAAATATAAAATACTGTTCCAAGACTAATGTTCTCGAAGCAAATTCTTAAATGGGAAGAATAAAAAGAAAACTTCTCCTATATAATGCTTATTTTTGTATCTCGGCAGATATTCACTTTTAGGAGCAAGATGATTAGATTTTATGATTATAATTAGATTATGATTAGAGTATAATTCTATTGAGGATATTATTTGTGAAGATTTCGGATGTGTCATCTTCTGTAAACACCTGATTCATTTGACATTTGTCAAACTTATTTTTCAATTTAAGAAACACAGAAGAAACTGGTTTGCAGAATTTCTCTCACACGGGAAGCACAGGACAGAACAAATTTGACATTCCATAGATTAAGACACAACAGTAAACAAAATTACTTAACTGTCACGACATCTGCATAGACACTTTGGAAAGCGACATAACTTATGAACAAAATTCACTGCTTCAGTAAAACTGAGCAAAATCCACTGTCCGAATGTCTCTACAATACACATCACGGAAACATGCAATCACACTCAATATCAAAAAGCAATTATTATTCCTGAAACAGAATATTGACGAATTGTAAACAATATACGCGGCATCGAGCGGCGAGGACTTACATATATGGATATACTCAATAACTCCATATTTAAACATAGGCTGTGTTGATGTAAATAAGCTGTTACGGTGTCAACTAATCGGAAGGTGGGACGTCACCACAGTGAAATTTAAGCTCCCGATTGGATGAGGCCATAACAGCTTATTTACGTCAAAGGACTGGGACTTGAACGAAACAATTTATTACTAATAAGCGTACAATTAAAGTTTTATTTATTTAATTAATTTACACCTTAAAAACTAGTGGATCAACAAAAAATATTTGATAACATACGTAGGGATCACATTCTTTCATTCAAAGGAAAAATTAATAAAATAAGTTTGGTAAAAGCTCGAAACGAATGCATGACAGAATACCTTATATTTTAATATATAGATTCCATTCTTGAATAATAATTTAATGTTTTAAAAGAAGTATTTTGTGCGTTAAAGATCAGATTTTTAAAATAAATGTTTTTTGTATTATTGCAGCACAATTTTGAATTAACATCAGTGGAGCAGCAACTGAGGAATCATTGGGCGTCTTCCCCCTCCCGCGCAGGGCTGAGAACTGCAACGGCAGCTGCTCTCGTCACATCAACTGCGCCAAGTCCTTCAGAAGTCAAATGCACTGCCTCCAGTTCGCCTGTGTCTTTGTGCAAAGTTATGGTAAGTGAAAAAATGACATTATCACAACGAACGTTTCTAAAACCTAATGCAAATCGGGCGCTGAAATTAATATTATTGCTATTTTTAATAATGTGGTTTCACAATGCAATTATGGAGTGGAATATCTTTCTCATAAACGCTAAGCACAAAATAAAATGTCTCAATATATATCATTTTCTGTATTATGACATTCAAAACAAAACTCGTGACCCTATGTCCCTACACGAAAGTCTACTTTTAAGGCTCTAAAATGCAACGTTACGTCTCTTCACATACTAATATAACGGCAAACTCCCGATCAGTGCAGCCGGCCGCTAAAATTCCCCTCCATTCAGCGACTGTCTTCGACGTAGCTATCTAGCTAGTGTCGAAAACCCTTCCACCGTCTGAAGTCGAACCCTAGGACTTCCCGGTTAGACGCACCGCAGTGATATGAATTGATGAGACGCACAATTGCCTTCCTCTTCGCCACCACCACGCACGCGCTCCGTGGCCCGACACGCCAATTCGGCTGCGTCGGCGGCCGGCGGCTGACTTATTTGCGCGTCTGCCTGTCTATTTCCGCCCGCCGTTGCGCGCCATTAACGGGAGCTCGGCTCGTCAGGCGAGTGACGGCCGCACGCCCCCCGGCCCGCCCCGCCCGCCCGCCCCGCCCACGCAAAACAAAAGCGCCCAAATGAGCAGAAGGCGTGAACCCCCCCCCCACTGCCGTGGGCGCGGTGGCCGTTTCGCGGCCAGAGATATACTGCCTCGAGTTTCAAGCACTTTTGGTTTATTAATTGCGTCGTGGGTGTAAGATTTTCAGAAGGTGAGTGGTGAAATTTTCCAATTTGGATCTGCGTGGAAGATGGTGATGACTAAGAAATTTATTGTAATAAACGAAGAAAAAAATTTACTTATATACACGTCTGTACATTTTTTCGAAAATATGTAAGAAAAACTGTAATCGTAAAATAAAAATATTAAAATTATTGTAAATAATTATTTGTTATAATATTTAAAAATATAATAAATTCATTAATAAGTTTAAATTCGTCCTAGCATTTTCAAATTGTCAAAAACAAATCGTTGCCGATAAGGACTGAAAATTGATTCGGAGGAACTGAAAGAAAATTCTTCTTTCACACTTGTACACTATTCGTGTCGCCACCAAATATGAAACATATTTTGAGATATAAAATACGTCAGTACTATATACGAAGTTTTTTCCAAAAAGCCGGCCGGTAAACAATGCTTCCGTACCAATCAAATGGGACGGGGTTGAACCGAAAATGCACCCTACCCATATGTAATAGTGCGGTAAGTGTCCATAAGATCAGTAAAAAAATGTGGAACTTGCATTCTATCGAGTGTACGCTGGGCTCTGTGGAATATGAGCCAGATCGTGGCTGAGATTACTTAATGCTTCTCAAACATTCGCTCTCCCTTGAATATGCGTTCGCGATTCCCAAGAAGCGAGAGTTGGAGTAAGTTTAACAATTTGCAGCGAAGGTATGGTGATCACTAAAGCGCAGTATTATATTGCTTTGCAAGAGAGATTGAACTCACACTTTGCTTAGCAAACTCGTGTAAGAAATATCCTATTTTGTTCGGTAAAAAAATACTAAAATGTAACGAAGCATATAATAGTGGGTAAAGTATGTACAAATACGTGATTATATCAACATATGTAAAAATTACTTATAAAATAGGAATTAATTTATAATTCATTAAAATGTCTTGTAAACTCTATTAAGTATTATTAAATGCAGGTATCTTGTCCCTGTAAAAATATATATTAACATGAAAATCCGTTTCCTATTGATGGTGATATAACGATGATGATGGTGTATATGTGTGTGTGTGTGTGCGTGCGTGAGTGCGTGCGATACTCGATTGCTGATTTTAGGGGAATCAGGAGGATTACATTTTGATTCCTCCTTTCCTGAACAAATGGCAAAGACGGTAGTTTGCTTTTGCGGAGGGGGTGGTGACAAAGATGAACTCTCTATTCGACGACATTCTGTAATTCTGTTCCGCCTTTAGGTCGTGTTGTTCACGGCAACCAACTTCATAAATACCTCAATTTCTCAACTATCTCCCAACATATTTCCGGAATCTCGGATAGGTTTTACGCAAAACTATTTAATTTTCCAACCCAGGTTATATTTCATCTACGTAAAACTTTCGACCCCCCTACAAACAAGAATCCGCTCCAGACTTCCCAAGAACAAAGTTCGTTTAACTCTAAACTATATATAATAATAGTTTTCCAAATAACTAAAACCTTAATCCAATTCCGCACTTCTAGATGACTGAAGAGGATTCCAGAGGGGGTGCCCTCCTTATTTGTAATAATTCGAACATATCATGTATACTACGTATCTGTGAATTTCTCTGTAACTATTCTGAAAAATGGTTAATCCAATGCACCAGAGAAATAAAATTTAAAAAAACGTTCGGACGGTCGTTTGTAAGTAAATTTTGAAAGAAGAAATATACTTCTCGTTATAAGAGTCCCTAAAACGCGTAGTTCAGACAAAATCGCGAAATGGATCTTTAAAGGTGTTACAAAAGTACCCGATGCAGTAAAAATCATGGTGAAAATGAAAAGAAATTACTCTTGCTTTTCCTGTAAAATTGCAGCTGGAGTCAGAGATGATGTTCTATGCGTGTTGCATTTCTTCTTAAATGCCAGTCACAAAACCGGACATGACATCGCTGTCCCCGTCATAACTGGAGTGGATGAGTGCGGTGCAGACGCTACACGATGACACCTTTATTTTTATGCTTTCGCAATGGTTCAAAAAACGTTGGACACTTCTATAAGTGTTATTTTCATAAGGGAAGGAATCGAAGCTATTGTTATTGAATGAATTACCAATTGATCAAACTGACTTTCATACGTTTTAGAATTCCGATTGCTTTTACCCGTGAACCGTTTCGATAGACGCGAATGAATATAATGCTTAGAGAAATATTATTACAATCGCCATAAACTTCGAATAAGTCGAGAAATTCCGTTTGAAACTAGTGTGACAAAGACTAATAAAACTGATAACACTGAAATACTATTAGAAATAAAGCCTGTTTTATTGAAACTTACAGAAAACGAGTGCAAAAAACGAGAAGTGTTAAATTTCCAGTAATATATTGACAATTCTTTATATTATTGACTCCTAATATACAATTCAGATAAGTATCTCACTTCTTAGTTTACTCAAATTAGACCATGACTTACAAACTTCGTTTAAAAAGAAACAATAACCTTTTATTACGTATTTTGCATTCTGTAAATGTGAGAATCAAGTGGATCGAGCCTCTCCTTCCTATCACTCATTCTTCCTGACTCAATCGTATTATGACCTTCGTACTTACAGCTGAAAAGCGAACATTCCCCCCTCCGTATTTATTTAATGTTTCGTGGATTTAATGAAAGGGGCTAGTCGTGGAAATGAACAATGATGATGCTAACGAAAATTGCTCAAGAGGCCACGAGCATGTCACGTATAAATCATTCTACAAACGGTTCCGTTTCTTTTCTCCTGGAGCTCCGAAATCCTCAGCCATCACACCTTTTGAGCGTTCCTTATCTGCGAGGAACGGCCGTGCGGCGAGCGCGGAGGAAGGCGCGGAGGTGCGTGCGAAGGGGCGCGTGCGGGGTGGGGGTGGGGGAGGGGGGCGGAGTGACCTCCGGAGGCGGAGGGCGCCGAGGGCAACTGCTGCGCCGAGCAGAGGTCGAGCCCCGGCCCGCACTCCCCGGCGGTCAGCGGCGCGCCTCCGCTCCCCAGAGAGGGCTCGTAATGCAGCGAAAGCGCGCTTTTTGTTTGGTTTTTTATTGGTGGATGCTTCAGAAATGTTGTTCAAAAGATACTTGAGTACCAGCGTTCCAAGAATTTTTAGTGTTGAACGTGGAGTAATTCACCTTGACCATTATCAGTCATACGTAAAGTCAAATCGAAAGTAATTGAGTTTTTCCCTATCACTCAGGGGTTTATTGCAGTTAGTATCCGGGGTTCCCCGACGGTCACCCATGTCGAGGGTTCTCTCACGGGACCCGCACTGCTGAATGTCCGTGATTTCACGGAGATTGAATATGAAGTTGGGCTTCCGGCACATGCCGTTGTTTGGTTGTTTGTATCGCTCGAGACCTTGGAGGTGGTTCTATTGGCCTACACACACCATGCGCGTTGTTGCTAGGAATTTTGTACATAGCGCCCTGTATGATTCTGACGATGTCACTGAATTTTGACTCTCATAATGCGGAGCGCAACAACTGTGAGGGAAATATTTAGCAATTACTGGAGGTGTTACTCGGCCACGATGGATTGTCTTCTAGTCCCGTAAGTGTTGTGCATGTTTTATTGTGGGAGATAGCGGTGATCTCCTGACGGACGGGAAGATCCGGTGCCGACCTACGACGACTTTCGGGGATTTTCCCCAACCAGGTATCTCTCATCAGCGTCACATCGCCTCAACCTGGACAGGCTCGAAGATCCCGACTGGTCTCCCGACATGTGTGGTCGTGCGGTGCATGCGAGTGTAAATGTGTTTAAGTAAGGGGTGAGGATAGGATAAGAAAGAGGAAGGAAAGATCGCGCGCGGGCCCTGCCCCGTTTGTTAGGCTACTGCTTCGGCCTGCGCCTAATGTTGATCGGAGAACAGAAGGAAAACTACCGATGAGAGCATTTGCAGCTACGTCGTAGTTTATTTAGCCTTGGTATACTCAACTCTCACTGTTATAACAAAGGTCAAGATATTTTAAACTCATTAAAAAACATATTTTTCAAAGTTTGCACCGTTTATTGCAACTTATTTTCAATTTTTTCTATTCTTCAAATCGTTTCAAGTGATTTAATTTTTTACTTTATTCTTCCAACGCTGCTTTTATCTTCATTTTTTACCACATTTTGAAACTCAAACCATTTCCAAATTGTTTTCTACTACATCAGTTATCCATTCTATACAATCGTATTACAAAAATCAGTTGCGTCAATTACGCAGATCACATCGTAATGTTT